GACAGCCCCAAGAGACCCTCGCCCCAATAGAGCCCCAAGAGGGCCCCAAGAAGCGCCCAGGAGGCCCCAAGAGGCCCACAAGAGGCCCCCAAGAAGCCGCCAAGAAGCCCAAAAAGGATCCCCGAGGCACCGAAGACGCTACAAGAGGCCCCTGGGACCGCCAAAAGACCTCCAAGACGCCCCAAGAGGCCTTCAGGAAGCTCCGAAGAGACATTCCTCCCCTCCTCCTCCTCCTCCTCCTCCTCCTCATCCTCCTCCTCCTCATCATCATCATCATCAGCAGCAGCAGCATCAGCAGCAGCATCATCATCAGCAGCAGCAGCATCATCCCTTTCCTACTCCTCCTCCTCCTCCTCCTCCTAACATTCCTCCTCCATCTCCCTCCTCTTGGGGTATGACGGCTTCCCTGGCCCTTTGTTCCTCTGAATGCTCCCCCACTTCCCTCACCAAGGCAACTCGTCTGGGCATCGTTGCTAGATGGGCTGGCCGGGTTACGCGGAACGTGAAGAATAACGGTAGTAAAAGAAGCAGTAGTAGTAGTAGTAGTAGTAGTAGTAGTAGTAGTAGTAGTAGCCGTACTAGTAGTAGTAGTAGTAATAATAGTAGTAGTACAAGTAGTGGTAACAGTAGTAGTAGTAGTAGTAGTAGTAGTAGTAGTAGTAGTAGTAGTAGTAGTAGTAGTAGTAGTAGTAGTAGTAGTAGTAGTAGTGGTAGTAGTAGTAGTAGTAGTAGTAGTAGTAGTAGTAGTAGTAAGAGTAGTAGTAGTAGTAGTAGTAGGTCGAACTCGTACTAGTAGTAGTTGTAGTAGTAGTAGTGATAGCAGCAGTGGCAGTAGTAGTGGCAGTGGTGACAATAAAGAATAGTAGTAGTAGTAGTAGTAGTAGTAGCAGTAGCAGTAGCAGTAGCAGTAGCAGTAGTAGTAGTAGTAGAAGTCATATTAGTAGCAACGGCAGTAATAGTACTACTACTACTACTACTACTACTACAAGTGATGGTAAAGGTAGTAGTCGTCGTCTTCGCCGAAGCAGTAGCAGTCGTCGTATTAGTAGTAGTAGTAGTAGTAGTAGTAGTAGCAATAGTAGTAGTAGTAGTAGTAGTAGTAGTAGTAGTCGTAATAGTAGTAGTAGCAGCAGTAATAGTAGTATAAGTAGTAGTAGTACTTGTGGTGGTAGTAGTTGTAATACTAGTATGAGTAGTAGTACTAGTAGCAGCAGTGGCAGTAGTGGTAGTAGTAGTAGTAGTAGTAGTAGTAGTGATGGTACGTGGTGATTATTTAGAAAAAAAAAAGTAATAGCCGTAGAAGTAGAGGTAGTGGTAGAAATAGTAGTAGTAGTAGGAGTAGTACTAGTAGTAGTGGTAGTATCAGTAGTAACGGTAGTAGCAGCAGAGGTAGTAGTAGTAGTAGTAGTAGTAGTAGTAGTAGTAGTAGTGGTAGTAGTGGTAGCCGTAGCCGTAGTAGTAGTAGTAGTAGTCGTCGTAGTAGTAGTAGTAGTAGTAGTAGTAGTAGTAGTAGTAGTAGTAGTCTCCGATACGGAAAATATCAGTAGGAGGAGGGGGAAGGAGAAGGAGGAGTAGAAGTAGAAGTAGTAGTAGTAGTAGTAGTAGTCGTCAGCTTGGTCGAAGCAGTTGTTGTAGTAGTAGTCGTAACATTAAAAACATTAGAATGATAATAATGAGCATATTAATATAAGAGAGAATAGATGTAGTAGTAGTAGTAGTAGTAGTAGTACTAGTAGTAGTAGTAGTAGTAGTAGTGGTCGTCGTCCTAACAAAAATGAAAAAATGTTGTGGTAATAGTCGTATAGGAGTACTAGTAGAAATAGTGGTTGCAGTAGTAGTAGTAGTAATATTCGTCGTCGTAATCGTATAGTAGTTGGTGTTGTTGCAGTAGTAGTAGTTGTAGTAGTAGTCGTAGTAGTCGTGGAAGACATAGCAATAGCAATCGTAATAGAGGCTGTAGTAGTAGGAGAAATAGAAGTAGTACGAGTCGTAATAGCAGTACTTCTAGTCGGAGTAATAGTAGCAGTCGTAGTAGTAGTAGTGGCAGAAGAAGTAGAAGTAGAAGTAGAAGTAGAAGTAGAAGTAGAAGTAGAAGTAGAAGTATAAGTAGAAGTAGAAGTAGAAGTAGAAGTAGAAGTAGAAGTAGAAGTAGAAGTACAAGTACAAGTAGTAGTAGTGGAACTAATAGTAGTTGTTGTTGTAGCAGTAGTAGTAGTCGTCGTCGTCATCGTCGTCGTCGTCGCCGTCGAAATATTAGTCGTTGCCGCTTATGTAGTGTACCGGTAATAGTATCAGTAGTTAGTGGGCATCGGACCAGCTCCCAGACAGAGGGCTCACGGACCAGCACCCAGACACGGGCCTCAGGAGCCCATAGGAACTGTTCGGACTCCTGAGGAATCCTCGGGAATCCATGGACCGCCACCCAGACCGGAACCTCAGGAATCCTTGAGAATCCTTAGGAATCCTGGGCAATGACACCCAGAATGGGACCTCAGGAATGCGTAGGAACCCGTGGGACCTCAGAAAAAATGTCAGGAATCCTTCGGAACCTTTAGGATTCCTGGGGATTCCTCAAGAATCTTCAGGATTCGTGAGGATGCTACCATCTGTTCTGAGGGGGCCCAAGAAGGACGAAAGAACACCAAGAAGGGTCAAATAGGACTCCAAGAAAGGCACGAGAGGGCCCAAAAAAACAGACACATCCCAGAGACTGAAACAGGCAAGTCGGGGATTTGTCTGGGATGTTCTGTGCCCTGTGGGAGCCTCATCGCAGCCCGATGATGATGACGATGCTGATGATGTTGATGATGATGCTGCTGACGACGATGGTGATAGTAGTAATACGAAGAATACAAGTAATGCTTATACTCGTAAGAAAACCAACAATAACAATAATACGAATACTAAGAATAAGGGTGCTAGTAACTATACACATCATATTAGCAATATAATGATGATGATGCTTATAAGAATACTACTAATAATAATACTGATGGTGATGATGATGATGGTGCTGTTGATGATGACGATGGTCATGACGGTGCTGATGATGACGATGATGATGCTGATAATGTTGTTGATGGTGATGACGATGGAAATGATGTTGGTGATGATGATGACGACGACGACGATGATGGTGGTGGCGACGACGATGGTGATGATGGTTATGATGATGATGGTGATGACGATGCTAAGCATGATGATGATCATCATCATCATCATGTTCATGATCATGCTGATGATGACGACAATGCTGAGGCTGATGCTGATGCTCATGTTGATGCTGATGCACATGCCGATCCCGATGCTGATGCTAATTATTATGATGATGGTGATGATGATGATGATGATGATGATGATGACGATGATGATGATGATGATGACGACAGTGGCAATGGTTACGGCGACGGGGAAGAAGAAAGGAGGAAGAGAGGAAAGACAAGGAGGATCCGAGGATCCGACGAGGATGAGGAGCAGAAGGATGATGGTCGCAATAATAACAGAATCAAAGGACGGTCGAGGAGAATAAGGTAGCAGAACAACTTCAAAGATCTCGCGGCTTGGTGATGAGGATGGTGATACTGGTGAATATGGTGCTGGTGATGACGATGATGATGATACTGATACTATTGATACGGATGATGATGATGATGATGATGATGATGATGATGATGATGATGATGCTGATGCTGATGCTGATGCTGATGCTGATGCTGATGCTGATGCTGATGGTTATGATGATGATGATGATGATGATGATGGTGATGATGATGATGATGTTGATGATGATGATGATGGTGATGATGATGACGACGACGATGACAATGACGATGACGATGACGATGATGATGCTGATGACGATGATGACAACGATAGTGATGGTTACGACGACAGAGGGGGAGGAGGAGGAGGAGGAGGAGGAGGAGGAGGAAGAGGAGGAGGAGGAGGAGTAGGAGAAGGGGGAGAGGAGGACGAAGAGGAGGATGAGGAGAATCCGAGGATCCGAACAGGATGAGAAGTAGAATGATGGTGGTCGCGATGGAAGCATAATCAGAGGAAGATCTAGGGGCATGAGATATCTGAAAAACTGAAAATATCTTGTAGCTTGGTTCTCCGCGATGCTCTGTTCAAAACAACAACCCGACAGAGGGTTGGGAAAAATTGTACTTCGGGCTGAAGTAGAGAACCTGATTGAAGCCAACCTCTGGTTGATCGATGTCCTCAAAGATGGTCCCAAGAAGACCCCGAATGCCTCCAAGAGGGCCCAGGGGACCCTAAAGGATGTCCAAATGGACCCCAAGACTGGCCCACGCTGGCGCCAAGAAGCCTCAAAAAAGTTCCCACAACGATAGGTACGCGAAGGCCTTTACGGATGACTCTTGAATGTGCCCAGGCTGATCCCGAACTTCGATTTGACTGACCACATCCCTCTGTGTTCGCTGCACTTTCCTGGTCTAGCCAGCTCGCCTGGGAATCGCGTTCGGATGGGCTGGTGAGGATACGCGAAGCGTCTGCAACTGGAGCCCCCGGAATGCTGGCTTGGACCTCCGAAACACCAGGCGCGATACGTACTTGGAAAAACTCACGATGAGAAGGGCCTATGGGTGTGAAGCGCGGACTCTCCGCGCCCTTTCCCCATTCCCCACCCTACTCCTCCCACTCAGCCCTTGCCCCCCGCCCAGCCCCTCTCCGGCTCCCGCCTCGCTCGCCTGCTACCCGCTCCGCCCTGCCTCTCCCCACCTTTTTCATGGCCGCTTCCCCACCCGTCCTTGCCTCAAAAGCCTCCCTGAGCCCCACTCCTCCGCCTCTCTCTGCCTCCTCCGTCTTCTCCTTCTCCTCCTCCTCCTCCTCCTCGCACTCCCGCCTCCCTCGTTCCTCCTCCTCCTCCTCCTCCTCCTCCTCCTCCTCCTCCTCCTCCTCCTCCTCCTCCTCCTCCTCCTCCTCCTCCTCCTCCTCCTCCTCCCACACTCTTCGTGCCCCCTGCTTCCCCCTCTCGGGACCCTGTCGAAGTGCTCCAGGGTATAGCCCTCGGAGTCGGCGAGCCCGGTGCCCTCGGGCAGAGCGCTGCCGGGCCTGGGTCGGGAGAGGCAGGCGAAAGGCCGGGCGGGAGGGGCGTCGCGATAGAATCCGAACCGCGTTCTCTTCCCATTTCTTGGCGGCGAGCGAGGCGGGGGGAAGTGAGAAGGAGGTGTTCTTCTCAAAGGCGGCGGGACTTCTCAGAAGCCCTCGCGCCGTCTGAGAGGTGTTGTTCCATCTTCTGGGAAGGTTTAGAAGACTTCTCCGAAGGCGAGGGAACTTCCGAGCCTTCTGAGAAGGCCCGCCCCTTCTCACTTCCCCCCCAGGCTGGCCGCCGAAATTCGGCCCCCACCACATTCACTGATAGATCTGGCTCGGAAATCTTCCCGTGAAATGATGGGTCGATCGTGACCCCCCGAGCGCGGGGGGGAGAGGAGGAAAGAAGGGAGGAGGGGGGAGCGGGAAGGACGGGGGAGAGAGGAGGCACGACTCCCACCCTCCCTCCATCCCGCCCTCTCCCCATCCTCCGACTCTCCCTCCTCATCCTCATCTCAAGATTGCTCCTGCTCCCAATCCTGCTCCTGCTTCTGCTGCAGCGTTTGCTGCTGCTCCCACGCTTGCTGCTAGCCGTGCTCCACTGCTGTGCCTATTGAACATGCGAATACTGGTGACGACTGTCGACACTGGGAGTCAGTCGTTGACGCTGGAGTCGGCGTTGATACTAATGTCGGTCGCTAATGCTGGGGTCGGTGATTCTTCCAGAGTCGGTTGTTGATGCTGGAACGGGGTCATCGGCGTCGGCCTGGAATCCATCGCATCGCTGCCGCTGTCGCTGTGCCAGCTGCAGTCGATATGCTCACTGCTTGCATATGTTGTGGTGGTATGCTGACGCCGTCCTGGTCCATAAGACGACATGCTGCTCTGCTTTTCCAGCCGTTACGTACCATTGGGCACTCGTAGTCTCACCATAGGTCGTCTCTTCTTTATACATTTCAATGCTTACTGCGCTCGAGCCTGAGATTACCACACTGGGGCGCTAGACTTGGAAGATTGGTATGATTGAACATGTGCGGCCAATATGGCGGCCTCGCTGACGATGCACGGGCGAACTGTGGATGGATACCCGCTCTGAGCCGAACATCCCGACCTGTTGAGAGCCCTCGCGCGAGCGAATGCCATGCTGAGGATGAGCGCGGCGGCCTCAGTCGCATGATCCGTACCTTCTCGAGGTCCCAGCCTCCACGCGGCATCGGCGGGCGATGCGCGTGAGGCCAGCCCCTGCCAGCCGGTCCCCGCCCGCCTGGCGAGCAGGGGTCGCCAGCTTGAGGGGCGGAGGCCCTGGGCCACGATGCAACAAGCGAACATAGATACAGACTCGCCGTCATCATCATCATCATCATCATCATCATCATCATCATCATCATCATCATCATCATCATCATCAACAACATCATCATCAACATCATCAGCAGCAACAGCGGCAGCAGCAGCATTACCATCATCATCCTCAACAACATCAACATCCACATCATCAGCAGAATTAGCATCATTATCAGCATCATCATCACCTTCCTCATCGTCGTCGTCATCGCCTTCGTCATCGTCATCGTCGTCGTCATCGCCATCGTCACCGATCACCAGCATCATCACACATCAGCATCAACATCACTATCATCAGATCGTTATCGTCAGCATCGCAGCTTCCACCTGCTCCTCCTGTGGGATGGACTGGGCAGAGAAGTGGCACAGGCAAAAGAAGGAAGCGAAAAGGATAAAGGAGGAACGAGTCGACGTAGGAGGAAGGAGAAAGGATCAAGGGAGAGAAGGGGAAGTCTAGAGTCGGAAGGAATCAACAAAGACAAGGATGGCGGCTTATGGCTCTCCTCGTCGTCCTCATCATCATCCTTGTCCACCTCGGCAACCTCATCCTTCCACTCTCCACCTTCTGCTACCTCCCATCCTCCCTCCTTATTATCCTCCTCTGTCCTCCCTCCTCCCTCCTCGTCCTCCTCCTCCTCCTCCTCCTCATCCTGGTGATCCCCGTCATCCTCCAGTGCCCCGTTGCTCATCCATCACATCAACGTCATCATCATCATCATCATCATCATCATCATCATCATCATCAGCAGCAGCAGCAGCAGCAGCAGCAGCAGCATCGTCCTCCTCCTCATCGTCCTCCTCCTCCTCATCAGCATCATCAGCATCAGCATCATCAGCATCATCAGCATCATCATCAGCATCATCAGCATCATCAGCATCATCAGCATTAACAGCCCCATCATCATCATCATCATCATCATCATCATCATCATCATCATCATCATCATCATCATCAGCACCATCATCACCACCAACATCAACATCAACATCATCAACACCACCAGCAGAAGCATCATCATCAGCAGCAGCATCCTTATTATCATCATCATCACCATCATCATCACCACCACCATCATCATCCTCATCAGCATCATCATCATCATCAGCAGCAGCATCATCGTCATCATCATCATCAGCAGCATCATCAGCATCATCCTCATACTCATCATCATCCTCATCCTCATCCTCATCCTCCTCCTCATGATCATCATCGTCCGCATCATCATCATCATCAGCAGCATCATCAACATCATCATCGTCGTCATCATCGTCATCATCATCCTCATCCTCATCCTCATCATCCTCATCATCATCATCATCATCATCATCATCATCATCATCATCATCCGCATCCTCAGCATCATCATCATCAGCATCATCATCAGCATCAGCAGCAGCAGCGTGATCATCATCAGAATCATCATCATCAGCATCATCATGGCGCAGGTTCCCTGCCAGGCTGGAGCACGAGTTTCGGAGGCCGGCAGCGGCTCGGTGGTGCTCGCGCTGCCGCGTGCTCGACCCCAGGAGCGGTGTGGCAGCGGGGTGGCAGTGTAGTCTGTCTGGCACTGCGGACACATGCTGAGCTGCGCGCACATGGGCTCAGGAGGGAGGAGGGAGGAGGAGGGAGGAGGGAGGAGGGAGGGAAAAGGGAGGAGGACGGAGAGGGAGGAGGAGGAGGAGGAGGAGGAGGAGGACGGCGGAGGAAGGAGGCAAGAGGGAGGGAGGAGGGAGAAGGCATAAGGGAGGAGGGAGGAGGGAGGAGGAGAGAGGAGGAGGAGCAGGACCAGTGTAAACCCAAGGCTCATCAACGACATTGCAACAAACCCTCTCTCCAAGTTCCCTCTTCATAGGCCCTTACAAGGACTCATGTTCGCTGACGGGAGTGCCAGAGAACGCTTCCTGGGACTTCAGCACTGCGAATCACCGTTACAGTTGCGCCTTGAAAACCCTGAATCGTGCCAGAACGGCATTTCTGGGATTTCATCACTGCCGTAAATGTTGCGCCATGACACTCCGACATCGTACCAGAACACCTTTCTGGGACATGAGCCTGGGACGTTAACAAATGTGCGCGGCGCTAAGGCAAGAGACACATTTTGAAAAGGAACCGCCCTCCATCCGTGAAACGTTTGTAAATGTGTTGTTTTCGAATTAAAACAAAACAAAACAAAACAAGCAATAAAAAACAACAAACAAATAGCCCAACCAAAAAAAACACAGCACCAAAAACGCGCGGCGTGAAGGCAAGGGCCACGTTTTGAAAACCAGCCGCCCACCATCCGTGAAGCTCTGGCAAACTCTCAAACGACTGCGCGGTGGCGCCAAGGCGAGAGCCACGTGCTGAAAACGGCCCAACCTCTATCAGTAAAACCCTAACAAAGTTTTGAAACGAATGTACGCGGCTCCAAGGCGAGAGCCACATTTTGAAATCGGCCCGCCCTCCATCCGTGAAACTGTTGCACAGTTTAAGATTCAGGATCATACATGATGACGAAGTCTCAAGCGAAATGCCTGGCCCGCCCTTTCGACGGGCCCCGGGGTGCGACAGAGAGAAAATCCTCACACGGAAAGAAAAAATGGAGGAGGACGAGGAGGAGGAGGTGGAGGAGGAGGAGGAGGAGGAGGGGGAGGGGGAGAGGGAGAAGAGGAAGAAGAAGAAGAAATGTTAAGATGAGGAGGAGAAAAAGAGGAGGAGGAGGAGGAGGAGGAGGAGGAGGAGAAGAACCCCCTCCAGGCGAGAGGCGCGACTGATGGGCGCCCCTGCTCCCGCGGAGGCGTGCCACGGCGGACCAAAGAGGCGCGGCGGCCTTGAGCTCGACGTGGACGACCTGGGACGCGGCCGCGGAGCGCGCGCGCGGCACAGCGGCACGCCCTGTCTGAACCTTTTGGCGACGCGCAGAGGGGGGTAGGGTTAGGTCGGGCATGTCCCCCTACAGGCGGATCTTGGGCGAAAGGTTTAAAGAAAATAGTCCAAAATAGTCGAATAATCGGCCCCATCAAATTTTTTGCCCTGTGGAGGGACATGCCCGGCTTAAGGGTAGGGGGAGGGGGGAAGGCTTCTTAGAAGGGGGCTGCTTCTTAGAAAGCGCCGGCCTTGTCGGTAGATGCAAAGCCCGTGCCTTCTGAAAAGCAACCTCCTTCTGAGAAGCCTTCCCCCCTCCCGCCTACCCCCCTCTGCGCGTGGCTGAACCTTCGGGAGAAGACTCCGAGCAAACGGTGGCACCGCCATAGACGGAAGAGAAGAAGGTCAGGAGGAGGGGGCCCCAGCGAGCGGACCGACCAACACCGCATGCGCCTCATCCATGGAGCCGACGAACAGAAACGTGCCCCAGGCCACTGGCGGCAGGGAGGAGGAGCAGGAGGAGGAGGAGGAGGAGGAAGAAGATCGGGCAGATCAGGAGATCAAAGCATGCAGCTGGGCAGGGTCTCAGCCCGAGCAACACTGCACGGGTACATTCCCCATCCATCCCACCAACCATCCTTCAGGGCGTAAGTGGTTTAGGGCGCGTTCTCTTTCAATTCGCTTTCTCAACTCCATGGATGAACAAAAAACGGCATACAGATAAACTTTTGGCGCTCCGCGCGGAGTGCCGAAAGTTTA